TATCTATCTATCTATCTATCTATCTATCTATCTATCTATCTATCTATCTATCTATGTACGTGTCATTGCGTGCGTGTGAGTGCGGAAAAAAGAGGATTGGGGGAGGGGGGATTGAAATGAGAAAGAGGTGAAACAAATGGGGAGGGGAGGGGGAGTGAGGGCGTAGTAGGGGGGAGAGACAGAGAGTCGAGAGTACGGAAAGTTCAGATAGTTGTGGTATGTATTTAGCAGCTTGGGAAAGAGAGAGAGAGAGAGAGAGAAAGAGAGAGAGAGAGAGAGAGAGAGAGAGAAAGAGAGAGAGAGGAGAGAGCTGCAGAAAAACAAGGGACTCAAGTGCCAAGAGAAGGGAAAATCCCACAACAAAGAAATATACACATTTTTAAAAGCTTGAAAGTAGGCTGGTTAATAACCTTCATGCAAGAAAAATTATTTCGTAAAAACATGACTTACCGTAAAGTTGGTCACACTTTTGGGCTGCGTTCGGGACGTCACTCTCTGCAGAGTCGCGTCATATCCGGGCCCGCCCACCCGGATGAAGTAGGACAAGTACGTAATTGCCGACTTCTCGTCCAGCTGAGAACTGGCGAGATCTTCTGGTCGTAGCACCAGGGGAATGTTGAAGTGTTGGCGAGCCAGTTTCATCGCGGACTGGCAATTCTCCAATCTGGGGGTGAGGGGAAGTTGATGATGATGATGATAATGATGAAGTATAGTTATTAGATCTAACATTTTTTGCATGTTCCTGATGAAGCCCGTGATCGAGCGAAACGTTGAACTTGTCATTAAATATTATGGAAATACTACCAGGTCTTAAACGTTTTACGATCTGCTGAACACAATGATGATGATGATGATGATGATGATGATGATGATGATGATGATGATGATGAAGATGATGATGATGATGATGATGATGATGCTGTTAGATGTTTTAAATACTCTTAACATGCCTGAAATATATTACAGTTTGCATTATTATAGGCGAGACATCGAGGTGAAATCAGGCGCTCGTAAAAAAAAAAATGAATTCCGAGATATCGGCAATACTCTGAAAGTTTGAAAATTTATTCGAATTTTTGTTTTTTATCCTTGAAACCTTGTATGTCCATTCAAAAACACTTTTATGTGTGGATGTTATCGAAAAACCTTGATTAAAGGCACACAAAAATTGTAAATTTGCAGTTTCTTATAAGGATCTTAAGCTATGGAAGTCACCAAACTTTAGAGGCCATTTTCTTGCTTATAATACTTTAATTGCAAATATCTCGACTTCTATTCAAGATAAATGGATATTATTTTCATTAAAAGCAAGACAAATGAACAGCCTTTAAGATGATACCAATAAATCCGTATGCCTAAAAATTGACGAGCGCCTGATCCCATTGCGTCCTGACACATATTTTTCTACTGCACAATAATGATGATGACGTCGATCAGTGCAATAGATACGCTGTTTATTTGTTTGAGTTTTTGTTTTTCAAGACTTGTTAAAAGAAAATATATTGTTTGATGCGCAAATACAGATTGCAGTCTGGGTTTTATTTAAGTTATAAAATGTTGCGTTTTACTCAGCACTGGATTTGTCTCGAACATAATGGTTGATTTACGTTATATTGACTTATTTGATGTCTCCTTGATTCCGTTTTGGGGGGGGGTCGAAATTGTCCGTCAAATCGATGCGAAAAAGATCAAGTTATTGCCCTTTAAAGAGGTCATCTTTGTTTAGACACACTTTACTGACGCCATCGGCTGAGCACTGTTTTTCCAAGCTAACAAGAAGTTGCATATTATGTTTTCACCTCAAGCAAGGCACCCGGAACCAGTGACTCTTATGAAATGGTACGGCTTTTTGCTGTTGATCTCAGAAGACATGAGTTCGATTCCGACCTGGGAAGCTATTACATTAAGTACATCCTTCTGTCTGATTAGATATTGCATCCCACTCGGGTCAATATTCTTGAATGATCTAAGCTGTGTCCTTCAGGTCGAATAAACATTTCTATAGAAGATATAGATACAATATTAATAATATAATTTAATACATCACTTTGTTTTCGCTCGCTTCCAAGCAATACTAACCTGTTCATTCTATCCATTTGGCGCCAGTTTGGGGAGATGCCAGGTTTGCAGAAGTCCAACAGAGCGCTGAAACAAACGGGTGTGTTTTTGATCCAGGGTTATATAGAACATAGTTAGAGGAACAAAACTGATGATGCTTGATGAGGCTCAGAACAGCAGAAACAGAGAGACATAGAGAAAGAGAGACAGAGATGGTGAAACAGAGATAAAAAATGTGTAAAGCTAAATTAAATACCAATCTCCAATATTATGACGGTGCGGAGTGGTAGGAGAGACATGCAGAAACTCCAAAAAACCATCGTTGTAGTTACTTCTGAGTGGACGACATAACTAAAAACGACATGACAACGGCGAAAGACACGCAGCAGATCGCCATTGATGGACTGTGAAGGTATTACATTGTATGTCGTCCCAGGGTCCATTTCAATTCAGTAGTTCAGGACAATACAACATAGCCACTGGAGGCACTGTTCATCAAAACTGACTCTGAGGAACACACTAAACTGTCTCCCGAGACAGATGGATGCTAATCAGTCGGTCGGCTAAACAGTCGGTCATTTAAGACAGATGGATGCTAAAAGGTCGGTCGTTTAAGACAGATGGATGCTATAGGTCGGTCGTTTAGGACAGATGGAGAAACTCTCTCTTCAACCCACCTAACGCCCATCACTTCATCCAAAGACAGAAACAGAGAAATCTCCCCCCTCTCTCAACGTTCCTCCTAACCACAACCCTGACCCCCCCCCCTTGCACACACACAACCAATACAGAAACAGAGAAATCCACCACCCCCTCCCTCTTTCCTATCAAACATCTGTCGTCCTTTTCTCCCCTCCTTCTTTTTTGTGTTTGTTACTCTCTTGTAACACCTCTAATCTTCGGTTGGCACTTATATGACCTTATAGTGTTGCAAGTGCCGTAAAACTCTTACTAAAACTACATTTCTCTCAAAACAACCAGGTGGCGTCGGTGGCCTAGTGGTTAGGCTACCGGACTCGTAATCGTGAGATTCCAGGTTTGGGGATTCGAGCCTCAGCTCGGTCCGACGTTGTGTCCTTGGGAAAGGCACTGCACACGAATTTCCCTCTTGGCTCGGCCCTTTCGGAGACGGACGTCTAACTCGGAGGCCCCGCCTCTTAAATAACCTAATAGTGTTGATAGGGGCGTTAAACCGATACCATTTCACTATTTTTTCAAAACAACCCAACAATGACTCACTGCACGGGGATGCTTCGGCACTTACATGACCTTAATGTGTTGCAAGTGCCGTAAAACTCTTACTACTTACTAAAACTAAACTCTCCCTCTAAACAACCAAACAATGACTCAAATCAGGGCGATGTTTCAGCACTTATATGACCTTAATGTGTTTCAAGTGCCGTAAAACACTTACTAAAACTACCCCCCCCCCCCTCAAAACAATCACACAATGACTCACTGCAGGGCGATGCCGTCGTTCCAGTCGGTGGTGAAGTTGCTGATGCTGCAGTCCGGCACGACAGCCTTCAGCCACAGCAGGATCCATGCCCGGTTCTGAGTAGTGGACAGACCCACCTGGTACTTGAGGACCAGCTGCCAGACCAGAGCCAGGACCAGCTTCAGATTACACGCCACTATATCGCTGCTGTCTGAGGACGACAAGGTCGTGTTACAACATTGGTCGTGAGCAGTTTGGCTGATTTTATATTAAGGTCGCTTTTAAGCATATGGTCGCTTTTAAGCATATGGTCGCTTTAAAAAATTAATAACCAACTACCGAAAAGAAATAAGGTTATGATCTACAAGCCTTTAAAATTCCCGCCCTCATGATTTTCCTTCAGTAGCTGTGCCCTTTTTTTTTTCCCTTTCTTTTTCGCTTTTTTGTGTGTTCCTTCGGAAAAATAATGTTGTTTTGTATTCCTCGATCATTGCTGAACTTGCAACTACTGTGTAAATAGCACACACGTTTCATCAACGTCACAAAAACCTGAATGAAGCTCCAAAAATAGCATTTGGTTGTTTGAGTAAAGAGAATCACATTGACGCAACAGCTGTCACCCAGCGTAAGAAAAAGGCGAGACATCCAGAGAGAAACAGCGAGGTGAAAGAACAGAGATGGGGCCTGCTATTGGTCACTTGCGATCATCCACGCTGTTCATAAAATAATAACGACATTACAAACCATCAGTAGTGCCATCATGCACGGCGCTGTATATGTTTGGAGTTAGGGATAGAATACCTAAGGATTGTTAAGCTGCTATTGATGGGCAGAATGAAGATCTACTGACCGCAGTGAAGAGACGAAAATGAAAATGGTATAGGCATGTCAAAAGATCCACAGGACTTGTCAAAACAATCCTACAAGGAACCGTAAAAGGAAAGAAAAAGAGAGAAAGGCAGAGAAGGAGATAGGAGGTCAACATCGCAGAGTGGGCAGGGAAGACGATGGGTAACAATCTGAGGAAAGCAGAGGACAAAGATAAATGGCGACAGCTGGTTTTCAGGTGCAGTGGTGCCCCACGGTAGCCCCAACCACGGGATAGAAGGAGAAGGAGAGGAAGAATTGATGGGTCGGAAAATCGGACTCGTAACTAACTTATAAAAAAGTAAGTCCAACGCCTTAACAATATGTCGCTAATACAACGAATTTATCGCCTGACTGGATACTAAAAGACAACTTTCAAAGGGAGCCAGACACAATGGAGATTCGGTTGACCTTTTTTCTATTCTCTACAAAGGATTCCTGATGGTCAGATTGTCGCGAGACGGAGGGGGAGAGAGAGAGAGAGAGAGAGAGAGAGAGAGAGAGAGACGGAGGGGGGGGGGGGTCCGTATTGAGGACAAGAGAAAAATAGAGAGAGACATGACACCTAACCTGTGCCAGAGAAGTGGTGGTATGGTAGAGTAAACTGCCAAGAAGGTCAAGGGGGATAAAAGGGGGGTTTTGTTGTTGGTGGGATAAGGAACAAAATACATTCCGTCAACGTCTGTGTGTGTGTATGTGTATGTGTGCGTGTGCGTGTGCGTGTGCGTGTGCGTGTGCGTGTGCGTGTGCGTGTGCGT